TCTAATTCTCAGGTTTTCCACAAGAAACTCTGGGAATTGAAATGGGCTGTGTGTGAAATACACTTTTTGCTAGCTAGTCAAGACTGGACAGGTTTATTTACTATCACCTTCTCTTGCTATACAGACGTGAGTGGTCTTTACAGCTGGGCCAATGCTGTATGGGTACTGGCCATAGAAATCACTGTAACTGGACTAGCCCTATGGATAATGGCTTTGCAGTTCAGTTCTGCATTGCTGACCTGCAGGTACTCTTTGCTCCTTAGCATCAAACAACAGCGCCCTACACAAGCACGCTCTTACGCGCATTAGTGTAGCCAGTGGAATGCCTTCAGAGGTTACCTGTGCCCAACTCTCATCAGCCCATCCAGCATGGCCAGCAGTCAGAGATGGTGGGAGTTGTACTCCAAAAACATGGGCTGCCTGGTCTATGTAGATATATTGTTTTTGTTGTTATTTTATTAGATTTATTACCTTCCCTTCACCAGTGGGTCCCAGGGCGAGTTACAACAATTTAAAATTCAGTATTAAATACCAATTGGGGTTTAAACACAGAGGTTTACATAAGGCTGCAGTGTTAGCTTGCTTAAGGAATAAGTCCCATTGATCTTGGTGGGATTTATTTCTGAGTAAGCAAGTTTAGGATCCCACTGCATATTGTTGCATTCCATTTTACACCTGAGAAAAACTATGCCTGCCTCCCGTTATGACTTGTAGGAATATTGCAAGTTAGTCATTTCTGCAAAAGCAAAGAGAAAGTACAATAACAAAAATGGTTTGCTCAGTATTTTTTAAGAGTAGATTGAAACCTGCCTGTACTAAAATTTGGAAAAGCTGTAGGAAAAGGCAAACTGTTCAATAACAGCTATTTATTGCAATAACAAACTTTAGATAAAGAAAAAGAATGGATGACATGGTGTTTTACAGTAGTTTTATTGATAATCTTGCAGTGTTATGTTCCTCTGTGTGAAGCAATTTCTTTAATCTTGGCTCATGGTCCACTCTTTCATATGTCTCTAGATCTTATTACAAGGGGGAGAGAAAATCAATTGGTTAAATGTGTTTTGAACACCATGCTTGTCATATCACTCATTTGTTTGCAAAGATGGAAAGCTCAGACCATCCAGAATGTCACCTAAAGAATTTCTATCAGTGCCGTTTGGTTGCAGAAACTGATGGATTAACCTCTTTCCCCTCTGAAATTAGTGATCAATGAGCCTCAATGTAGAAATATTCCGGTGGGAAAGCCCTGCTCCCCCTTCCAGTTAAACAACAATAAATGTCTATTAAAGCCCATTATGCATGCTAATACCTGTCATCACTTCATTACTCTACTGTATTTCCCAGAGTATGCTCTAGCCTAAACAGCCATGCTCTGGCAAAATGGTACTGGGAAACCGCTCTCTAGGTCTTGTAATGTAGAAATGAATAACGTAGATTGGATCAAAGCCTCTGAAAAATATAATGGAGCACTGCAAGTTTTTTTTTGGCCAGTGGCTTACCATCAAAATTAAGATCCAATGGTCTTTTTTAAACTTAATAAATTACTGTAATTTATTTAATTGCCTACAAAAATGTGCACACGTATCATATTTACAGGAATCAAAGTGCATTGCAATGTCAGTGGTGGGTTTAATGCAAATTTAGAGTCTGCCATCATAATTATTGCTATGATTAAGCACATTAGCTGAAAACATTACTCTGAAATAGGTGAAAGAATTTGAATTCCTTCTAAAGAACAATTCCCGCTCATGACTATGCACTTTTGTCCAATTGACTACAGCTCATAAAGAGGTGGCGAGAGGAGGTTCGATGCGAATAGGTTACTGTTATTGCTGCGAAGATCTCCCAGTTGTAATAGTTTGCCAATTTAAAAACACCAGGGAAATTTTTAGAAGCCTTTGAGGAACTTCCTTTTCATTCCACATTGTATCCTTTTAATAAAAGGAGGCAGAAATGTCCCCCAAACAGTAATTGTTCACTGTAAGAGTCAGAGGGAAATTGGTAATAATATTCAGTTATTGCAGCCCCTTAGTCCTTGCCTATGTTCCCTGTAAGCAACCATGAATGATTACAGCACGACTTAGCTAAGGTAGCCTCTATGGATGATTGATAGGACATTAATCAAAAGATGCATATCAGCTTCAGAATTTGTTCACAAGCTTTCTTCTAATAGCTGATTTCATGTTCACTGAGCTCTATGCCAGTTTGTTCAATTTATTCTTCAGTGTACAAGCCATTCATCACGGAACACAATGATTTCACACACACACACACACACACACACACACACACACACTCCCTTTCAGAAACCTGAGATTGGAGTGGTACAACTACTCTCTTTGGTTCATTAATATACTATACAAACTCATGCATGCCTGTGTTCTATCATTTTAACCCTCTTGTACTTGTAAAAAAACACCACTAATAGGATTTTAGGGACAAATAGATCCAAATTAAGTAATTTTAAAAAACAAATACATACATTACCTTTTTTTTTTTAATTTCCCCCAAGGAGGTCAGGGGGCATACACACCCACCCACACATAGTCTACCCACCCACAACAACATGGTAGAGAGGATCAAATGCAACTGTTGAAAAAGCAAGGAGTAAAATAATACAGTTGCACAGACAGAGTTGGTTCCCAGCATGTTTTGAGGAATCTCTTTACTAAGGGAAATCTGGTGTTTCCTACTGAAATTGTTTGGGACTCCTTTTCTGCTTGCTCCTATCCTGTGCGATGGGTCAGGGAAATGGTGACTTTTGCAAAATTATCCAGTGAGCCCCATGACTAAGCGGGGATTTGAACTCAGTTATTCCCCATGCTAGTCACTGCAACACACAGTCTCTCAAGGGCATGTATTTCACAGTGATTCCAGTTTAATATGAAAATAGGAGACTTGAGCATTGCTTTCTATAATACAGCAGCACAGCTACGTACAGATGGTATCTGAAGTCTGTCGTCACTTGCAATCTTAAATGCTGCGGAACAGGAATGGGGAATCTGTGGCCCTCCAAATATTGTTGGATTCCAGCTATCATCCCCCATCAGCATGACCAGTGGCCCTGAATGCGGGAGTTGCAGGGCAACAACACCCGAAAGGCTACAGGTTCTCCATCCCTGCTACCCTCCTTTGTAGGAGAATACATACTGTATGAAGCAAACCAGGTTATTCTGCATATTTTTCATACCCCAGACATTTGGGCAAGATGGCACCAAGGTAGGACGTGCTTATCAGATGACATTGTTGGGGGAAGAAAGGAGGTCATGCACACAAATGTAATATTTTATTTCCCCTCAGGGAGGAAAGTCTTTTTTATCTAGGGAATATTAATTTGGTCTGGAATACCAGAGTGCCCATAACAGAAAGTGTTCAGGCTTTATTCTAGTTGAGGAAATCATGCATGTCCAGTATATGGAGGGACCATTCTTGTATATGGGATGTATGAATAAATGAAATCATACTTTGCCTCAAACCATGGACATGAATCCAAAGATAGAGGCCTATTTCTTTTGGATTAATAGAATCAAAAATTCGGGAGAGAAGCAGCAGGTAATCTAGCACTCCTTGTACGACCCACCTTCTCCTAAATTCTGCTGCAGGAATAAGATCCCTTTATTGGTATTTAAAGGTAAAGGTAAAGGTACCCCTGCCCGTACGGGCCAGTCTTGACAGACTCTGGGGTTGTGCGCCCATCTCACTCAAGAGGCCCGGGGCCAGCGCTGTCCGCAGACACTTCCGGGTCACGTGGCCAGCGTGACAAAGCTGCATCTGGCGAGCCAGCGCAGCACACGGAACGCCGTTTACCTTCCCGCTGGTAAGCGGTCCCTATTTATCTACTTGCACCCAGGGGTGCTTTCGAACTGCTAGGTTGGCAGGCGCTGGGACCGAGCAACGGGAGCGCACCCCGCCACGGGGATTCGAACCGCGACCTTTCGATCGGCAAGTCCTAGTCGCTGAGGCTTTAACCCACAGCGCCACCCGCGTCCTGTTTATTGGTATTTAAGTCCCTTTAATTCTAGTAAGGCTCGGAGCTACGCATGCAGCTGTTGTAGCGGTGAACTGACTTTCTGCATCGCTCAGGTCGTGCTTCTGTCTCCCAACCCCAAATGCGTAGCAGCCCATCAAGGCTGAGAGGAGTAGAACTCGCTTGGCTGACTGCATCCTCAGCCAAACACGCTACACTGAAACCCCACAAACGTTCAGTGGAACTTGTCCCACTGCATTTAATGAGGCTGACATGGTGAAAATTGTGTTTCGGACTGTGACCTTAGTAGAAGAGGGAGAAATGTCACTGTATTCAGTTATCATAGCGGTCATTGTGGAGAGAGGAGAGAGAGGAATGGCGTGAATGGAGGGAGGTGAAGGAGCATCAGAGCAATTGGCAGTTGTCCAGTCAATAATTAGTTGCCAAAAATCAGTATTATCCATCAGTATCAAAGCTACATTGTTCTTGATATTGAATAACTTATTTGTGCTTAATACTTGACATATATAGTGTTTTTGTATATATGTTTGCATCTACCAAAAGAGTGTCATTCAGCAGCCAAACTATATTTTGTCATGAAACTAGGTAAACAAATGTCATATTTCAGTTAAAACATCATGATATGCATGAGCCTCTTTCTTGGTGCACTGCAGTTAAACCCAGGGAGTTTTTAATTAACTACATTTTTCCTGTTTCGTCCAAACTGGGAAGCTGTGGTTTCATGGGTGGAATCTATACACACATATAAAATAGTGTTCTGAAAATGCTTTTAAAAAAAGCATCTTTAAAAATACATTGAATTTTCCATAAGGCTCACCGCCGCCATCTAGTGTCACATTGTATAATGCACTTAAAGCACACTTGAAACGTTTTATTTGCAGCTGTATAGCTGAGTTCATGGTTTGGAACTAATGATCCTCAACCATGTTTTGAAGTTGCCAAAATGTCACGTGTCTTTGCTTGATTCTGTGGCTAATTTTACTTACTCCCCTTTCCCTTCCTCTCAATGCAGCCCTGCTCTGAGTTTCGCATACCCTCCCACCCCAGTATCCCTTCAACAGATGCATCAACAAATCCTCAGTCGTCAGCAGAGCCTGGGCTCAGCCTTCGGACACAGTCCTCCACTTATCCATCCTGCGCCAACCTTTCCTACGCAGAGGCCTATTCCTGGCATTCCTAGCGTCTTGAATCCTGTCCAGATCAGTTCAGGTCCATCGGAATCCACACAGGTAAGGGAATATAGAAGAGAAGGTTTTGCACACTGCTAATTTGTTTGGGTCTTTTTTGTAAGCCAACCACATTGTCATGTTAGCGATTAATCACCACAGCCACTGAGCAGATTGGCTAACAAGTACCTTGGGGCAGCAGTATATGCAATCTTTTATTATAAATTACCCAGAGTGTATCATGGTTTCAGATTGATAGAGTGCTTTCCATCCCTTATAAATATTTCAGTTTCTGTGTTTTGGATCTGACAGTTTTAGAATGTTCAAGCAAAGGGTGCAGGAAGTGGTAATAAGCTAAAGTAAAATGAGTACAATTCATATCCCACAGAAGTTAGTGGCAAAACTCCCCCTGCTGATCCTGGTTTGTAAGCAAAGCGGCCACGTACAAGACGCCTGGCTAACAGGGCAATTTAACTTGTGTATATGAAAACCTCACCTGACTGATCGCTATGGAAGTACACAAACCTAATGCACACCTCTAAGACACACACATGCCCACACCTGTATGCCTATACAACTCTGTGTGTGTATACACATACACCCCCCCCTGAAAGACATGTTATCATCTGATTAAATCATCTGCAGTTTATAAAATTTATGCTATAATAAATTTGTTGGTCTTTAAGGTGCTATGAGACTTGGTTGTTTTTTCTAAAGAGGCAAATATTCTGGAAATTGTCCAAATAAAGCTGCTCAGAAGGCTCTGCTTGTATCTGTTTGAAATCATGTATTTGTATCTTTTGGGACGTGAATATGTACAGCAGAGCAAACCCACGAGCGAGTCTGCAGTGAGCAGCACAGGTGACCCGATGCATAACAAGCGTTCAAAGATAAAACCAGATGACGACCTCCCCAGCCCAGGTGCAGGAAGCATGCAGGTAAAACAACGAGGGTCCACAAATACCCTTTTTCTCTTAGCTATTCATTATCCACAAATTATTGCCACATTTTGCCTCTGAGGCTATGGCCTCAGGTACATACCATGTACCTATCCCTAATCCTGGGGTGTTAGGGGAGGAGTAGTATGGGGGGGGGCGAAAATCATGCTTCTTCTGGTGTAGCTTGTCCACCTTTGGTCCCCACCCTGCACTCAGCTTTCCCCTGTGACTTCTAGAAGCTGTCAGAATGCAACAGCGACCACACCCTGGGAACAGCTAAACCTAGTGAGGGTCGTCAATGGGTCTCACATCTTGGTGAGTTAGGGACTTCCCCTGCATGCAAAAACAAGCTCTGGCAGATTGAGCAGATGAGACCAATAGTGGGTTCAGTGGTCAAGAAGGTGATTTCTGCACATACTGTAGAGGGAAGTGAGGGTCAGATGGGGCTCGTCAACCTGGGAAGGTAGCCCACCTAGGAAAACTCTGATCCTAAACCTCCACTGCCTTGTGGGATATCTTTGGGAGAAGAAAAGGCTGAAGAGTAAACACAAACCTGGAGTGGTGTCCCTAAGGCAGTTGGATGGTGCCTTGCACACCTCCTTCTGGCAACTCCTGCAGCCAAGCTGCTGTCAAATGTATTTTCCTTTCCTTCCTGCTTTTCTTTTGGACCACATCAACAAGGTCGGGGGGGGGGTCCTTGTCGCCTGGGCAGCCCAGCACCTCTAAACACACTGCCCAGGCTTTGTAATCACAATATCCATACATACATCAATAAACTCAAACCCCGCTCTTACCAGAGCATTGACCTCCTCCCACCCCTCTTCCTGACTTCCATATATATCTACTTTAATCTTAGTATTTCTATAACCACTTTTTTACCTTCTCTCTTATTTTTATATTTCCCCTTGTTAAATGTAAATCAGTTCCTTATAATGTCATTACAAAACATTTCAACTCAAAGCTACAAACGTTTTCAGATGTTTACAATACTCTTTCATATATAATATAAATTTGCTCCAGTCCTTTTGAAACAGTTCGTCACGCTGATTCCGGATCTTCCCCGTCAGCTTTGCTAACTCAATGTATTTCTCTGTCTAAGAAGAGTTGAATGCTGAAGTTTCACACCCTGATGCATAACAGTCCATAATACTAGAATGATATAAAATGACTGCTCTACTTTTGTGTGGCTGCATATGTGTGTGCAATCATGAATCACTACAATAAGTCTTCTTGTTTTCATTGTTAGAAAGGAAGGACCAAAAAAACGTATAGGTAAGGAAACCCCAAAGTTGCTCAGTCATGGTAAAATGAACATCTGCTGTGGAAAGGTTGCAGTTTCCAGGTAGTTCAGAGGCCATGACTCAGAGGATGTCATCCATTTTTGACCAGCCACCTGAACACCATGCTGCCTGGCCAACACCTGCATTTTGCTGATGATTGTTGACCACCGTTCTTATGGCACCTGTGCCTGAGAGGACTGCCCTGTTTAAAATTGTGGCTTGATTTATAGTTCTCCCTATCAATCAGGCTTAGACTGGTTAACAGCATCTCCATATCCCACTGGTTTCCCAAACAATTCTGTCTTTTGCCATCCTCATTTCACAAGTTGAGAACTTAGGCTTTGCACCCATGACAGACAGGACCTTAGCCAAAAGTCTTAGAAGCAAATGGAAAGTCCATAGGACACAGCAGACCCATATATCTTTGGGTTTTCTCAAAAAAGTTAGGGAGCACATGACACAGCTGTGCAGAAATTGTCCATTTCGCATCCTTTGCTTTACAAGATTAACTCTGGGCTTTGGGGTTTTGCTGAAAGGCGGTGAATGAGGTTTCCTTCCCACACCCTTCTGGTACTTTTGAAGCTAGGGGACTCTGCCCCTCTTTCTTACACCCTTTCCCTCTTCTCCTCATCCCCACTCCCCCAGGAGCCACCTGAAGGCATGACGCTAGTTAAAGAAGAAGGGGACAAAGATGAAAGCAAGCAGGAGCCTGAAGTGGTCTACGAGACAAACTGCCACTGGGAAGGCTGTTCGCGAGAGTTTGACACTCAGGAGCAGCTAGTGCATGTAAGTTAATGGCATTCAGGAGCTGGTTTTGAAAAGTATGTGACCTTTTCTGCAGGGGCAGGTTCTGTGACCCTTTGCTGAGTCAAGTTTCTTTGCAAACAGCATTGCCGGCTGGAGAGGAGTTTGAGTTTCTTCGAATAAAGCAAAACTCTGAGCTATAGCGTTTGACCTGTTCAGTCAGCTAAAGCTTAGTGTAAAATTCAATAAAGTCTTCAATAGAGAGTGTAATGGCTCTGATCCTGTAAGCCACAAAATACTATTTTGAATCAGAGGCTTTGATAGTTATTGAGTAATAGTAAGCTGGACATGAGTTATTATTAACCTCTTGCCAAGTTTGATTCCCCTCCCTTTCAAATGGGACTGTAACAATAGAAAGGGGAGACTGAGAAATGCCCCCCCCCAACCCTAAAGGATTTGTGGTGCATTTTATGTATCAATTTTCTGTTGTGTGTGTAAGCTGAAGTGGATTACTTGGTAGAATAAGAGTACATTGTGTTATTGTAGTTCCCTTGGATGAAGGCAAAACCCTATAGCATTAGTGGCAGGAGAGTTAATACTAGCTACTTAAAAGTAAATATGTATTAATGAATCTTATTGTTTCTGCTTTCTTAACATACCTCCTATGATATCTACAATACAAGTGACATCCAAAAGTATGTAAAAGATGACATTCACACTTGAAAGTTGACAACCCAGGTGTTTCTTTAAAAAAATGTTCAAACATAATTTCCCCACTTTAGCCAACTGTCACTGTTCACTACTGTGTCTCGGGGTTTTTGAATGCCCAGCACGCAAGCCATGGAGTATAGGTGATTTCATAGGCAGGTCAACATTTTACCAAAAGTCACTGTAACATGCAGTATATAATCTGAGTTTCCAGGTGAGAGTTACATAAGAACTAAATAAGTGCTATTTATCTGGCCTCAGGTGTTATTCACTCATTCGTCGAAAGCATTAGGTGAATTTTATACAACATAATACTTTTTATCTCAAAAAATGACATTTGTTTACCTGGCTTGCTGGAATATGTCAGTTTGTTCTGTTTGCATCCTGTACTTTCTTCCAAAGAACTGAAAGCAGCACCTTAGATTCATAGAGATTTATAGACAAGTAAGTTGTTGTTTTTTACAGAGATCTATTTTATTCCATTTGTAACTTTCTTTTCCAAGCTACAAGAGCTCAGTGTGTGGCCAGAGTTGCTGCCATTTTATCCTCCTTGCAGCCCTGTTAGTCTATGAAGGGCAAAGTGTACAAGCCTTTCCCTGCCTGCTCCTTCTCTGCTCCAGATTCCTCTTCCAAGTATCTTCCTTTCTTCTACAAATCAGAGAGGCAAGTCCTACATGAGTGTCAGCCTATTAAAGTCAATGCTATTACATCATGTTTTGTTCACTAGAGCACAGGTATCTTCAACATTTTCAAACCCAGGATCCACTTTTAACTCAAACATGCATTCAGAGACCTACTTCTAAATGTTCTACTATGAATTTGCATGGTGGTTGTGACCCACCTTGGATCAGGCCACGACCCACAAGTCACAGACCAGTGCTGTAGCATATCACATTTATTTATCTGACTGCTGCACTGCCCTTCCATACAGGAGCCCAGGGTAGGGAGGTATAATACCATTAGAACACCATTGCAAAATGTTCCACAAGAACAGTAAATAGCTAAGCACACAAGCATTAAAATGATTACAATTTGGCCCCTGGGACACCTAAAGCCCCAAGTAAATAAATAGGTTTTTAGCTGGCTCTGAAAGACCATCAGTGACCAATGGAAACGTATTTCCCCAAGAAGGGAGTGTCAAAGTCTCCTAGAGCAGTCAAACTCACTAGAGCAGTTGTTTTCAAACTGTTCCATGGAAGCGCGTAAGGCTTTCTTTGATATAAAGCATGATAATAAACCAACTTCTACTCTTCTAGGACGTTCTTTCCGTGGGCCTAATCAGTGCACTCTACAAATTTAGTGGGTGCTTATGGGTGGTTCCCTGGTTTCCCCAATCTACAGGTGTTCTGCAGCAGGTGACCAAATATATGAAGGTTTCTGCAAGGACAAAAGTTTTGAAAATCACAGCTTCAGAGTTTGCTGCACCAGCAAATAAGTGGGATGTGCCAACTGCCATCTCAGTGCTGAATACCGTGCCAATAGCATATGCTGTGATGTTGTCATTTTTTCCTGCTGTTACCGGAATCTTTCAGTAGCATTTCAGGTAATGCCATAGCTTAGATGTTAAAGGTCACATAGCTGGCAGTGGTCATCCTAGGCGGAAGGAAATGATACTTTATTCATTGCTGTCTCAAGATTCTTAAACAGCATTTAAAAATGCATTGTGGAGCCACCAGTTTCTAGTTCATATCCAGACTGTCCCATCCTGTGAGTGGATAAACAAAATAAATATACAGACCAATACACTAATGATCAAACCACTTAGGTAGTTTTTGACGCTGTAGCAATTTTCATTAGTTGGAGCGAATTTTCAAGTTCCATGTGCTGTTTAGAACTGAAATTTCTTAAAATGTTTGTGATGCATGCTCTAACAGGCAGTGTGTTAAACTATTCAGAGGGTCTGCCTTATTTATAGCACCTATCCATCCTTTCCCTCTACCACCACCCCCCCCCGCCCCTGCCACCAGCCTCCCTCTCCTTTACAGTTAATAGAAAGATTCATGATTCTTCATGGTTGTCTATCTAGTGTCTGACAGCACTGACTCCCCTTGCTAAAGCAACTCACTATCTATAATTGATATCCTTCTAAGGAATGGGGTGCTGACTGCAATTGAAGGGCTTTGCTGAAAGCTCTTAAATCCTGACAAGTTCTGCCCTTGTTCTGGTTCAGTCACTGAGCTACACTCTTGGAATTCCAGGGTTATTTGAACTTTGTGCAAAAGGGATGCATGTGTTTCACATTAGCAAATCACAAAGTTGGAGAGCAGAACTATGACCTGGACTGCTGGGTTTCCTGCCAGTCTCATTTACAATGCACGGAACCCCTAAAAAGATTACCTACTTATATTACCAGTTGAATTTCTTTCTTTCTTTCTTTCTTTCTTTCTTTCTTTCTTTCTTTCTTTCTTTCTTTCTTTCTTTCTTTCCTTTTGAGAAAACCCTAACAAAAAGACCTTATTTATTTTTCAAACCTGGTTTGCTGCTGGGCCCTTAATCATTCTACTCTTTAATTAATTTCTTTGCCCACAAGATATTATAATTGGGCTGAGCACGTTAGTTTTAAGTGTGTGATAAATTCACTTCTGCGCCCAGAAGCTAATAAGATGCTGTATATTCCACCCCTTCCCTTAGTCTGCTTTTCGTTGAACCTCAGTTTTGTTTTTTTAATGCAGCTATCTGTTAGATTATACAAATTACTAGAGATTGGTTAAGTTAGGAATCAAGATAAGTGTTTGTTTAGGAAAATTGCCCCCAGAAGGAAAAAGACTGAAGTTACTGTTATGTGTGAATACAATGGCAGTCAGAAATTTGAAACAGTGCTGTATTTCTTTGCTGTTCCTATGGAGGCTTAGTGATAACTGTTCTTTATTTAAAATACACTTGAAGATACATAATTCAAAGAAATTAGATTTATTTTTCTTGATGCTTTCCTATTGATTTTGTAGCAGAAAATTCCTTTCTTTGATGAAAGTTTGATTGCATAGTAGCAAAGACCAGAAGAGCAATAATTATACATCCAAACTCACAGATTTTAAGGCTTTAATTTTCCAACTTGCCTTCATCAGAGAGACAGAGTGGCCCCAACCCAGCTCTGATTGTCGTTTGTTGCATGAAGCTAGTGATTTGGGATGATGAGACACCTTTCTGTCCACATCAGACACATCCATGAAGTTCAATGGGAAGTGCATGAAGATTTTCATATGCACCCATATCAACTGTTGGTGTTAATGTGTGTTCACATATACGTACGTAAATTCTAAAGTTTGTCATTAGGTTGCCAGCTTAGGACTGTTATTCCAATTAAAGAAACCTTAGCTAATCAGTCGTGAGCTTTAATGAGTTACTTGGTTAATCAATTGATTTAAATTTGAATTTGGGTAAGTGCAATAGTGCTGAAATGAGACGTACTTCCTTGTTTTTTAGATGGTGTCCTGTAACAGACATAAGTTTGTAGACAACACTGCTGTTGTGGAAGTAGAACAGACATTTGCTCAGACAGTGGGACATCTCCTTCCTCCTGCAGCCTTCCGTGCGCCCCCATAAGCTGCTCCAGGCCAGAGAGCCACCCAACCAGGAGCAGCTTTTTTTAGGGTGCATGCTTAGTGGTTTCTAGCGGGGAGAAAAGGAAGAGAAAGTCCTGTTGTGTGAGCAGACATTTGTTCAACTAATGCGACAGCAGCATTGGATACAACCCAACATCTTAGAAGAAGCATTGACTCCTATGTGAGAAAACGTGAGAGCGCTTTAATATGGTGCAGGGTTTTTTATGAGAGTGCTTTAAGATGGTGCAGGTGTTAATACAATATATTTATTGTCAAAAGTTTGCTGCCTGATTAGCTGAGAACAGGTTTTTGCCCCAATTTACCATACTTTTCCGTGTATAAGACTATGCTTTTTTACTCTAAAATAATGTTCAAAATCTGGGTTCGTCTTATACACAGATAGTGCAGAGCGGGGAGTCCCCAAATCGGAGTCCCCCAAAATAGGGGGCGTCTTATACATGGGGGAGGAAAAATATGGTATATCTTTATGTTAAGTGAGTAACTGCTTAAAGGGGCCACACCCTGCCTAATGCAAGTGTTTCTCCTTGATGCAGGTTTCACCTGCTGTGCTCCCTGGTCCATTTGCTGGGCATTGTTGAATAGGAGGTGCTTAGTGTCTTCGGTGCATTGGGGTCAAGCAATGGTGTCTGTGAAGGTCAGGGTCTGTGCATTCATGACCAATAAGCTCAGCTTTATTGTGAGGAAACTTGTACCAACAGGGCAACATCAACCAACAATACAACAGTGGTGTACTCATTGAATCTTATGAGTTGGAAGATTCTATGTGGACAC